TGGGCATAAATGAGCTTCCTTGTGATGTCTCACTTGCTGGCTTCACACATCGAGGTAAACAGCATTGGTGCCTAAAGGAACACGTAGGGCATGATGCAAGTTTTCCAAATCTCCTACTTTGAAGCAGAGATTTTCTACATTATGCTATTAAGAGCTAAATCTACTTTCTGAAATACATGTAAGTAACTTCACTTCAAGATCTTACTCTATTTTTCAATACCAAGCCAACAGCTGATGATAGCATCATGAGCCAGTCAGTCGTGCTTCCTCCTTCCTGGAGTTCATTAAATCTGTGTTTTAGTCAAAAAAAAAAAAAAAAAAAATCATCTTTACTCTATATTTGTGGCTTATTCCCTCTTTATCTTTTTTTATATTTGATTTTTGAATCTTAACTAATGTTAAATCTAAAGTAGATGTTGGTTCCTTCATTCATAAGGATGGAAATTTTTTGCTTGAACTAGTTGGGATTCTTACTCATGCCAAAGTTAATAATACTCCAACTTTATAGGATGTTTTCATCTTGCACAGTTCCTGCACAGAGTAGATTCTATTTGATCTTCATTAGAATATTTTCAGGCTCAGGTTTTGCTTTGGGCTTGGCCAGAGAAATGCGTATTAATAAGACTCCTCTAGGTGGAAGGGCCCTATCATAACAGCTTTTTGTATGGTGCATCAGCCATCATCGTAAATTTGTAAAGTCTGAATACTAGCTTTATACTTGAATACATTTCATGTATTATTGATGACTTTACATAAGTTAGTAATAAACAGAGCAGGCACCCTAATTCCCCTGGCAGTTTTCTATTGAACGCTTTATGCCACTTGGTGTATTAAAAATTCCCTCTCTTCCATTCATTCATTTCACAAAGTATTATGGAAGTTTTTCTCTAAACAAGGCAGTCTACAGCCACTGATCCCTGTGAGTCCTCATTGGGGCAGTAGGACAGGCAAACCAGGTATAACTCAAATATCTAAGATAATTAAGTGAATCAGTATTTGTATATTTAGGGGTCATTTTAGATGTGTGAATTTTATATGAACAAAAAGTTATTAGTGCTTCCAAACTGTTTCATGATCATCTCCCCTAATGACAACAGGTTTTATTTTGCTTTGGTGGCACGAATTGAACTTAGGACCTTGCACTTGCTGGGTAGGCACTTGTGTTGCTAAACTACATCCCCAGCCCCTAAAATCTGGTTTTGAAGTTTATCTCCCCAAACCTTTACCATAGAATTATTTTCTCATTACTGTTTACAAATAAAGCAACTGCCTATCAAACAGTATGGAATTACCATGTTGCCTGCCCAAAAGGGAAAACAAAGAGACATTCATTTCGTGTTTTTCTTGGGTTATGTGTCATGATTGGAAGCAGATACATAATTCCGAATATTTTCAAAATATTGTAAATCTTTATTACTAACTGTGGCCTTCAGTGATGAGATCCAGTTTCTTCATTTATTCATATTAGTAAAATTTATTTCTGTTAACCCATCCATTTGCAACTTAACTGTGGCTAGCCAGTGTCTTTTCTTTACATCTGTTTGATGTTTTTGGTCCTTTGATGAATAGGACTTGAATTGGAAAAGGAAACAAATTGAAGACCTTTATAAAGACACAAGGTGCTTTGCTACTTAAGCGGTTGCATAACAAGCATGAAGTGTGATTATATTTGACATCACTCTTAATTTATGTCATAAGAGCTGTGAGGTAGCTGGTGACAGGGCAAAAGAGGAGTGGATGAGCTCATGTGCCCAGGTGGGAGCTGCCCCAAGAGGCCTCAGGGTTGCCTTGACAATGCAAAGTCATTGATCCTTCTCAGATCTCCACATCCTCTTCCTACTGTCCCCATGCCAATCCATCTTTTAGTCTTACCCTCCCTAAGAGATAAAATGATGTCTTACACTAGTTTAAACTACTTGACACTAGTTAGGGGATGGGAGGATGTTTGCATAATGAATAAACAGGAAGAAAGCATAGCGTAATATCTTTGATAAAACATTGAATTTTCCTAGGGAAAGGAAGCACCATAGAATGTGCCTGATGAGATGGTATAGGCTATGGATAAATGACAGTGAGAACAAAGGGGCTATATGAAAGCTAGTAAGAGCTTTATGATTTGGTTTTCTTAGCTGAAACTTGTTTTCATTTTCTTTCTTTACATTTTTTTCTCATTAAGTAACATGTAATAGCTGTACATACATATGGAGCACAGTGTGCTCAGTGTGCTACATTAATGCATGAACATGTGTACTGAGCAACTCAGGGTGATCGGTATTTCCATCTGCCTACCATTTGTTTACATTCAGAACCTCTGAACTCCTATTTGTTGGTTCTTTATAACATATGTAATAGGTTATTGTGAGCTGTGGTCACCCTATGAGCTGAAGCACAAAAAAACTTGTTCTTCGTGTCTGTGTTCCAGTACCTACTCTATGCCCGTCCTCCGTCCTCTGCCTCCCACATTTCCCTAAGACCAAACTTGACATTTCTCCTGCATCAAAGAGACCACTTCGTCTCTCTTTAGTAATCTTACACAGTGTTGTGTGACTAAAGTAAAACTTTAAAATTGTTTATAGAAATTGCCAGTTTTTCATAAGATTGCTGATGACATTTTCTTATGCTTTTCTGGATATAGTTAGTATCTTTCACAATAACATGCATTACTTTTTAGTCAAGGAAAAGAAAAGAATCACAAATTGTAAAAGTTGAAAAAAGTATAAAAATCCTAATATATCCTTGCATCGTAAAGTGAGTTTATTATTATTTTTTAAAATTTAGGGTGACCTGTCAGGTTAACTACCTGATAATGAAACAATGAACTCTACAGCTCTTTACACAGATTTTCTCACATGGGGCATATTATAATAATATTCAATGAACTTAGTAATAGTGGCAGGATAGATCCTTATATCCCAAAACAAGGACATTAGAATTAAAGTTGTATTTATCTTATTAAGAATTACGTTTAACAAATTACATGTAAATAGGGCTACTTCTTTGTGCTCTCATGTGCATACGGTTATGATAAATTTCTCATGAAATCTATAAAGAAATATTTAAGACAGTTCCTACTGCCAGGCAGTTACATTGCAGTTGGAGTAAAAGGACACATAGGGGCCAGGGAGATGGCTCAGTAGAATAAGCAAGGATTTGCCTGGCAAGCGCAAGGGCCTGAGTTCAATGCCCAGTTCCACCAAAAAAAAAAAAGAAAGAAAAAAAGGACACATAGTAGCAGATGCTGTCAATTACCAATGAAATTGATGGCACAGGTAGAAATCCAGTGCCTGATAAAAGACCTGTTATATTGGATGGATGGATGGATGGATGGATGGATGGATGGATGGATGGATGGATGGGTGGATGGGTGGGTAGATGGATGGATGGGTGGGTGAATGGATGGATAGATGGATGGATGGATGGGTCAATGGATTGATTAGTTATAAGAGTACAAAGGATAAATGTTTACTGGCCACAGATGGTTGTGTTTTAGGAAATATCTTTTGATATTTTATCAGTTGGAGAATACTTCAGGAAGAAGATAGGTTCAGTAGGCCTTTAAGAACTTAGAAGAGTAGGGTTTGACTATGCTAAACAAAGAGCTCCATGGGAATTTTAGGCCCAAGGCTAGTCATGAGGAAAAGCAGTGGGGCAAGAGTCAGATTTCTGACTGGGAGCTGTCCAGTCCTGGCAGGTTTGGTGAGGAAGTTGTTTCAAAAGTAGATTAAGATAGTATCATAGAACATCATGATTTCCAACCTAATGCCCTACATAAATATAGGCCACTATAGAAATACTTGCATAAACAATGCCATAACAGGAACATCTTAGAGAAAATCTGGTAAAAGTATGACTTCATATTGAAAAGCTGCATGGTCTAAGCACCTACCGGACAAGTGCAAGGATCCAAGTCCAATCCCTAGTACCACATGACATGTTGGCATCAGAACCCAGGCACACTATGCTGGCCTCAAAAACGGTCATAGTGGTACACACCTGTGAGCCCAGCAGTGGGGAGGCTGAGACTAGAGGATCGCTTTGAGTCTGAACTGCGTAGGGAGACCCTGCATCAAATTAATTAGTTAGTAAATTAAAGATACAAGGTATAGTTTAATACAATTTATAGATTTTAAGTATTCAACTGGAATTTTAAAGTATTTTTAGAACTGCTAATGTAGATTTTGCTGTATCATCATTAAAATATTTCTGTACTTAACTGACATTTCTGAGACAGTTATGCCAAATTCAGCTTTAGATCTATAGGTATTCTAACTGAGAACTAACACATTGGAAAACAGAAGCTGGCATAAACGTCTAGAGGTCTCCAAATATTTTATGCATATAAATGAATGAATATTTTATGTGCTAGAAGAAAGGTAATAATTTATGTGTTCTGGAATACTTAATCTAATACTGGATATGTCCTAGAGTTGGTATTTCTTAGATGTGAGTTCTGTTTGCACTATGAGAAACTCTATACATTCTGTCTTTAACTCTGTTAACTATTTGATCTCACAAAATCAACAGTTATTATGTTTTAATGTGAATAACATTGGGACCCTAGAACAGAACAGTGGGCGTTGGATTCTAGCTCCGCTGCTTACACGCTGCTTGGTCCTGGCCAAGTTTCTCTCTGTTCCTCAGTTCTCTCATCCATGAGGGTGACAAGACCACACTAATTCCTTAAAACCAGACATTGGGCGGATTAAAGATAGACATGTAGATGGGTAGCCAGCATGATGTAGCAACAATTCATAAAAAATAGCTGTGTCACTAGTATCAACAGTATCAATGACTAATACATGTATATTCATCTTATTTTCTTGAGGTGTTTTGGTTTGGTTTGGTTTGGTTTGGTTTGGTTTTCAGTGTTTTGCTGGAAAGAGAGCTAGGATCTCATGGGGATGTGTCAGAGGTCTTTTGGGGGGGACCTTAGAACTCAACACATGGAGCATAGGCTGCCACTGAACACAGTGAAGCTGACTGCCTCTTGCCTTCCACAGTGAGCCATCTCTATGGATTTGGACTGATGGATGCAGAAGCCATGGTGATGGAGGCGGAGAAGTGGACCACTGTCCCCCAGCAGCACGTGTGTGTGGAGAGCACAGACCGACAAATCAAGTAATGTTTGCAACCGCCAGATAGCATGATCATGCCCTGAAAAGAGAGAGGCCAGCTTACACTGGAAAGCTAGAAACTTCTGTAATTTGTTTCTGATGTAATTATAGCATTGTGATAAAATGTCTAGGCTGCTAAGCTGTGAAAACCATATTAGTATAGCCCTAGGATCCTTAAAAGCAAAAGGAGTTGGGCAGCCCCTTACCAGTGGGCATTCCAAAGTTTGTTACTCTGTCCAGATCTCTATTTGATGGTGTATAATATTCTCCAGAGGTTGATGTACTTCAAAGCATGTGCTGGAAATTTCACTGCAAACCATGTTGTTCTCCAAAGAGTAACATAAAATGTAAATTTCACGAGCGTACAGTTCACTCCAAGATACAAGGGTCTGCTCCCCGGGGTTAGCTGTGCAGGCCCCAGAGAGTATTCACCGAACAGTTTGTATAAAAGCACTCCTAGGTGTGACATTCAGGTGCCATATTCCTGCTCAGTGGCCTCATGGGATTTCCTTCATAGCTTTCTCCTCAGAGACCACTGTCTCTGAAGAATATTTATATAAAAACTTTAGTTTATGGTGATACCAGGGACCTTACAGTTTCTTGAGGAAATTTGTTATAAGGCAGAAAGTAATTTTTTCTTTTCCCATTCTACTGTCTTGAAGAGTAAGAAAGGAAAAAAAAGAGTAAAAAGTTAGTCAATATTTCCTGAACACTTACTATGAGCCAAGCCAAATGCCTGAAATCCCATATATGGTTTTCTTAAAATTTGTGCATAACTTGGGTGTTTGTCCCATTTGATAAATGAGACAGTGATATCAGTGCAGTTTTTTGTTTATCCACTTACAAACTCATTCACCAATTCAGCCACTGCTTTTCTTGTACTCCCAGACATGAGCACTAAGCTAGTTATTAGGGAGAAAGTGGAAAGGGATAAAAGTTGCTTCCTTCCCTTATGAAGTTTAGAGTTTTGAGAAGAAGACAAACAAGAAAGATGGAATGAGCACATACCAAGAAGTTCTAAATGAATGTTGAAAAATTGTAAAGGTACGAAATTAGAAGGTTTTGCCTCTTGTCTGATGAGGTCAAATGTAAGCTTTGGTCTTGAAGGAGGAAGGAGAGTTAACCACAGCCAAAAAGGGCTGCAAGCAGAGTAGAGAGTTCAAGGTCTTCATGGTGAAAAGCTCAGAGTATACCAGGCAGTGGACTGTGGCATAGGAGGAAGCTGGAGAGGAGGATAGTGTGCCCTTGGGTTATGGCACAAATGGTGAACCAAGAATTGGAGCCAAGATTGTGCATGTTCCCAAGCCACTGCTCTACCACCACCATACAGTCATTCTCAGGGCATCTTCCCTAGGTCATCCACACCCATGTCACCTGAGAACTCAGAAATAAACATGTGCAGTTAGCCACTCTAACTGGGACCCACCCATGTCTATATCTTAACAAGATGATGCCAAGGCACAGCCCAGTTGGCAACCCACTACTCACATGAAGATAAAAAGGTTTTTGATTGCCCTTTTCCTCCTCATCTGCATCCTCCTCACTAACCATTAATACTCTAGGTGGCCTGATGATTTAGGTATTAGCACTGTGGTCACTTAATGTCCACAGGCCAGCTGCCTGCTTATCTTGCAGCCTCACGCCAAGCCTCCAGAATTGCTCATCTGAACTCAGCTGCACATTTGCTCACATCTCCCCTCTCTCTCCCTCTCTCTCCTTCTCCCTATTACAGGACGATTCGCCCCAACAGTGCAATCCGCTCCATCTACAAAGCCTCAGGTTGCTCTGATAACCCCAACCACTATGTCAACTACCTGGAGCACGTGGTTGTACGTGTCACCATCACTCACCCCCGGAGAGGAGACCTGGCCATCTACCTGACCTCACCCTCAGGAACCAGATCCCAGCTATTGGCCAACAGGTACAGTGATGGCTTCTGCCCACCAACAGGGGTCACAGCAACACTCAGCTCCCCTTGAGGTAGAGAGGATCTGCTGCTCTTTACTCCTATGGGGGTCCTCGCATGTCATGATCTCACTGATCCGAAGCATAGACTGGGAAGCTGCTCAGCATCTATAAGCATGGAAAAGTATGGCCCGTCATAGCTGGATAATAAAAGGATGCTTCAGAAAAGCTGTAATGCTCCCTCTGATGTGCCTGATGACATTTGTTACCGATTAACTGAATTTTCTTGCCCAAACACTTAACTTTCCAAAGTTAAAGGAAATTCTGGTTCTTCTATTTTTTAAACTAGTGTTGGCAATTCTGTTCTGCAAAGAGCCAGAAAATAAATATTTTGAGCTTTGTAGGCCAGGTCTCTACCCCAACCACTCAGCTCTGCTGTCAGAGTGCAGGAGCCTCCATAGACAATAGAAATGAAAGGACACGAAGATTCTAGTAAAAAACCCTTCCCATATAGGCAGCCAGCCAGGTCGGCTTGCGGGCTAACATTTGTGCACTGCTGCTTTTGATGTTGGCCCTTTAGTTCATTTTGCCCTAGAGGACACCTGTGTCTTTTTTTAGCCTCTTTCCTTTTTCTTTTTCTTTTCTTTTCTTCTTTTTTTTTCTTTTCCTTTTCCAAATATTAACCTGCAAGTAAGTAACTGTATTGTGTACCGACTAAAATCTTGCTGAAAGAATAAGGTCAGAGGTCCAGGGATATAGCTCAGCAGCACAGTGCCTGCCTGACAAACATGAGGTCTGGAATTCAATTTCAAAAAAGAATAAAGTGAGAACATTTTATTACAAGTTTTCTTTTGCTCCATGAACTTCTTCACTGGCTGGGGAAATGACCTGCCTGGCAGTAGGTGGAGCTCAGTGGGGGGAACTTGTCTCCCAGACCTTCTGTCCATTGTGGTTCTAAGGTATAAGCCACAACCAAGCCTAAAAGCTTGTTTAATTTAACATTTCATGGAAACAGAAACCATATCATCAGTGGCCTGTGCAGCCTAAATGAAAGTGAACCTTTCAAGTAGCCATAGCCACATGTCCATGTGGCAGGTGATACGACAGAGGAGATCTTTACTCAATGTGAACAATGGCCAGAGGGTCTGAGAGCCCAGGGTCAAAGCCACCCTGCAGAACCAAATGTGAGAATGAAATTTCCAGCACCCCTTTGCTCCAAGAGATCACCACTCTTTATCCATTGTAAGATAGTGAGAAGAGAACAGTAGCATTCCAAGGAGGCAGGATCAGGAGCGCAGAACCTGGACTGTTCCACCCCTTTCTCCACGGGCACATGCTAAGCTCTTCCTAGAAAGCAATAACTTCCAATAGAGCCTGAGGAGCTTCAGGCTGTCCAAGCATGAAGTGCAGCTTTGCCCAGGTGCAAAGGCATAAGGATGCGTTGGCATCGGGTCCCTGGGCACCTCCTCCATACCCTCTTCCTGCTGCAAACAAAGGGGTCTCAGCTGGTGCCTGCCAGGTAATTGCTACAACCTGCCTAGTACTTCTTTCCAGTGAGCAGTTACATGGTCTCATCCACTGTTGTCACCCAAGTCCAGAAGTGCCCTTGAATTTTTCTTTCTTTCTTTCTTTCTTTCTTTCTTTCTTTCTTTCTTTCTTTTTTTCTTTCTTTCTTATCAATATTCATCTGGATTTAAACTGCAAGAGTACCCTAGTAAAACAGTGTGAAGTGCAGAGGTTTGCTTCATATGTGTGTTATGCTCCTAGCCCTTCCCTCATAAGAAAACATTCCCTCACTATTGCTATTTGCGTAGAAAACTCAGCCTCTTCTTCTTTCTGGGCTCTTCCTGCGTATTTTGCAACGTATTGTTGGCTTCCCTCAAAATGACTTCAGTAGGGAAACTCGCAATCAGAGGCACAACAGATTCCATCACAGGCGTTGGTGGGTTGCGAGGTCCCTGACTGTCACTCACATGCATCCCTTCCCAGTTGACATCTGCTTTGTTCTCTGCAAGCTGCTGAATTCAAGAGTGCTACATGACTTGTGGCAGAGATAAGAAAAAGGCATTTCAGATGCTCCGTCAACACTGCTCACAGGCTCTATCTCAGTCTCCCCCCACCAAGATCATCTTATTAGAAGTAGAGTTCTCGCTCATTAGGCAGTGGTACACGCCTGTAATCTTAGGGTCTCTGGAGGCTGAGTCAAGAGGATCACAGATTCAAAGCCAGCCTGGGCAACTTAGTGAACCCTGACTCAAAAATAAAATATAGGGTTAGTGATGTGACTCAGTGGTAGAGTGACCCTGGGTTTGATCCCTGGTACTGCAAAATAATAACAATAAAGTCTGTGTTTAGAGTTTCTAATCTGCAGCATCTTCTTAAAATGCTGCCTTTATATATCCTTCCTCTCAGTCCTGAACATATGTGGCCATCAAATGAGGTAACAGTTGGAGATGCAAGGACCTGGGAGCCCCAAGAGATGGGAAAGATGTTGAGAATTCATTGTTCACAGCTCCCCCAAAACCTTGATCTGAGCTGCTGCCTGAAATGTAAAACAGCTGCACCTCACCCCAAAACCACCCTCCCCAGGCCAGGCCCCCTGTTTCTGTTGTGTTTAACACGGACAGTGTGCCTCCTACCGAGACAGCTGGCGAAGACAGTTTCCTTTGGCATTCTTTCCTCTGGCATATTCGGAGACTTTCATTTTATTGAAGGAAATCTCTCCTGGAAAACTCTCCATCTCTGGGCTTATTGGCAAGAAGTCTTCTTGTCCTGTCACTTTGGCTCTGATTCAAACACAGCCCAGGATGGAGAACTGGGAGTGGAAGCGGGAGCACAGAAAGGGGTGGGGAAGAGAGAAGGGAGGACCCACTTTGCTCCTGCTGTCCTCCATGCCCAGCAGCAAGACAGTGTTTTTCCTCAGGAAAACAGTAAGTCAGATTTTGAAGAAGTATGTCTCAGATTATTCGTAAAAGCAGTAGTTTCCCTCATAGACACCTACTGTGATGTAATGTTAATCTTGACTGGTTTGAGAGGTGCCTAGGGGATTAGAGAAGCACACTTCTGGGTGTTGTGGGGATACATCTGATCCCAGGACCCCTTCTCTGGTGCTTCCTTGTGCTCAGAAATTGAGTGGCTCCACTCCACCATGACTCCTGCTCTATTGTTTTGGCCCTGTAGCCAGCTAGCCAGCACTGTGAGCTAAAATATCCCTTTTCTTCTTTAAGCTGTAGATAGCAGGTATTTTGTCCCAGCCACAGAGAGGTGATCAACACCTACCTTTCTCTCTCTCTCTCTCTCTCTCTCTCTCTCTCTCTCTCTCTCTTTCAAAGAAATCAAGATTTCTAAGGAGGTTCAGGTAAAGCAAAGAACAGCTTAAAACTAGGAATTACAAAAAGCTTACAACAAAGTTTCTCTCACAGGGCTGGTCCGAGAGGATGATGGGCTTCTTGGGGCCGGGGCCTACTGGTCTCATCCATCTCTCCCTACCAAGAGGTGCAGCTCTTCTGTAAGGCCTAGAATTCCCCGTCCCACCAGCCTGGCAGGCAGTGTGGAGAACTTAGTGAGCATGTTGACGCGTCCCCCTGCCCACTCACAGCCAACTGCAGAAAGCGAGGTGCTGGAAGCCGGCTCAGACCCAGAATATGGAGCTCACTAAACGTCATCTCCCCTCTGTGACTCCAACCCTGGAGACACACACTGTGAGGAGAGAAGAGCTGGAATGGCAGGTCCTTCCTCGGCCTTATTATCTGTGACTGTGCTGCTTCCCATGATTGACAAGATATGTACCCTCTTTTGGGGTCCTGAAGGCCTGGTCGCTGCTCATAGTTGGCAATCCACAGGTCCCTATTTTCCTAGACATTTCAGTGCGTTTTTTCAGTCATGTTTGTCCCCTTGGCCAAGCAATTCCTTGACAGTCTCTCCTCTGCAAAATGCCAAACACTTCAGTCCCATCTGTGTGGGCTGTCAGAGCCCTCGCCTGGCATGGGTGGGGGGCACCTGCCTCAACCCCTACAGAGAACAGCTGTGGGAACAAGCCAGACTGGCTTGCCGAAGTGTCTGCAGGTGCTCGGTGAGGACAGCACGCAGCAGGGTTCAGAACTGCAGGCTAGCGGGAGCTGCAGGCCAGCTCCCCGGCAAGCCACTGTAGTAATTTAGTGGGTTGGAGCTCGGCTCAACAGAACAGCCCTGGAGAGGACAAATGGCAGCTCCTTCCTCACATTTGTCCTTCTCCTGTCCTGCCTCACTCACAGTCCTCCACTGGCCTCTATATCCTGCCTAGCAAAACAAACCAAACTGAACATAGACAGCAAATGGATTGCTTGTGTGGAGAATGTGGAGGTCAGGTGTGTCAGGAGGAGTCAGGGGAGCTGGGCTTCCTTGAAAACAATGTTAGAGATTTTAGACAAGAGCAACTTTCAGTGGAAGCTTTTAACATACCACAGCCAAATTCTGCCTATGTAGAAAAAAAAAATCTAATGAAGCCATGTTCCACCACATTCTTCTGTCAACAATATTTGTTAGAACTTTGAGAAGCCATCTTGGGTCTGGACCGCACCCTAATCTCTCCCACTCCCAACTCAGTTGGGTTTTAGCTTTAGTTTAGCTGTATGGACTTGCTGTTCCCAATTTCGCCTCTGACTGAAAGCTGAAACTTTGCCTTGCTTCCCAAATTTGATTATAGAAGAATATCTCTGCTTCTGATTATGTTCTTAAGTAGAAAGACGGTACACTTTCTGGTTAGTGAAACCTATAGGGTTGTCTAATCGACTGTTTAAAATGTAATGTTGATACTTTCATCATTCTTATCACTGCCCTACCCAATGTTCAGTGACAGACCATTGACATTTGTAATGCTCCAGTGTATGTAAAAATCCATGTGTGGCTTGCAGTAGAACTTACCTTTCACAGTGAAAGTGTGATACGCAGCACAGCCCCATCCTGAAGAGACTGCCGCCCTCATGGAAAACCAGGCACAACCTTTGGAATCAGGCATTGCTGAGCATCTCTTGACTT